ACCAAACAACACTTTCTAGTCTAAAAGTAATCTAAATTTAGATTTAGGGCCATGCAACACAAATGTGGAAGTGACAGAAAACTTGATCAAAAACTGAAAGATCAGCTTCATTTGGGTTGGTATGAAAGAATTTGATCCTTTTTCTGATGTTAAATTATTGTAATTAGGTTAAGTTTGCATAAAAAGGATCAGCAGTTTCTTTATTTGAGAACTAAAAATTGAAAGGATAGCGGTAAATATGATTATAATATTTGTACTTGAAGACTGGAACCTGCATTTTAATTTAAATCCTCCTTAAACATTTGAGCTGCACATCCTGCTGTTTGCTGAATATGACCAGATATGAAGTGCCATTAGTTTTCTTAAAAATTCAAATGTCAGTTAATCAGCATCATAATTTCCAAACTGAGCTCCTCTGTGACTGAGTTTGTTTGTAACACAGATTATTCAGAGCTCATAGATTATTTCTGAGGCAGATCAGAAACTGATCATTTCTAATTGTAAAAACTGTTCTCAGTTCACACACAAGAATAAAATCAGACTAAATCTGCTGAATTAATAGATTACTAATCAAATTAATGACATTCTATAGTATTACTGGTAGGAGATAGTAGCTGAGGAATAGTCTTTTTTTTTTTAATTATGATAAATCTGATGTCAGCTAAAACCAATTGTCGATGTCAAAACGTATCGCATTCAAACCAAATATCTACCAAATCTAGCCTAGAGATCCATGAATTATTTGGATCATGTTCATCTAAAATGCTCACTGGGTTGTATCTGTAGTAGAAAATGACAGAATTGAAAGGATTTTTTTTAAGGCAAAATTCAAAGTTGTTCTATTTGTTTCAGCCAAACGTCCACCTTCTCGTAAGTAAAGCCTCTCGCTATTTAGTCTGTTTTTATCCTTAGCTCTGTAATTTCCTAAAGTTTTTGTATTTTATATTGCATCCTCAGAATATTTTACATCGATTTATAGCAGAACATTTATTCACATGCTTTCTGACGTTGCAGCTGTGGCGTACTGTCAGCCTCCAGAGGAAACCCAGTTTCTGCCACACGCATGAAAAAGCAGAAACAGACAAATGCAAACAAGTGAGTCGTTGAATAAAGCTTCTTTTATTAAACATAAGACCTGTATGTAAAAACCTTTTAATACCTGTAAAAGTTGGAGGAATGTTTGAAAAAAGAAAAAACATTGACGGTTTTACATTGGACATTTTTAAATGTAAAGCTCTATTCTCTTAAATTTCCACTTTTGGAAGATATTCATTCAGTTTTACTCTTTGGAAAGGATAATGGATATGACCAAACTATTTTCTAACTGAACATTCTGACTTTGTAAAGCTTACATAAAAA